ATGAATATTGACCAGGTGGTGCGACATAGGTAATTTTCCCCATAGCATCAGGAGGAAGAGCGATATGGTGCTCCATTAGACTATTCTCAAAGACAGTCTGCATAAAAAAATATCGAATATTAGATCTTAGGAGCAACAATTAACATGGTCATTTCAGCGGCTTTTAATAAACAAAGATACATAGCAGAGACTTACAGCATACAAGTCTCCTCCTGTCACTAGGTCGCCCTCACCTAAATTTTTTTTGTGAAACATAAATTTATAGCAATCTGACGAATAGAATCAAACACATGCTTACAAAACAAATTGTATGGTCATAACATACCTAGTTTTTTTGGTTGAAAATCCCATAGTATGTCTTTGTCAAGTGCAGGGACTGCAACACCACGAGGAATGTAGACATCTCCAGATCTCTTTGCAATAGTTTTCAATGGCCTCTACTTTTTCAAAATTCAAGTTAAAAGAAGAAATCAAGAATAATTGGATAGTACAAATCTGAAATACAACCTGACGTGAAGTAATACAAACCTGAATGCCATCAAATATATTTCCCAGAATTCCAGGTCCCAACTCCACAGATAGAGGCTGATAGTTCACACACCATTAATCCATAAAGATTGGACAACTGAATGGATAAATAGAATAACTTAAAGATGAAATGCTTACTTTATGAGTCCGTAAAACAGGGTCATTCACCATCAAACCAGCAGTTTCCTCGTAAACTTTACAATAAAATAGGAAAAGATCTAGTCAATTTACCGAGGTTGATAATATTTAACATAAATTGGGGGGATGATCTTCCAACATATGTGTTAGTAGGCAAGCGGGGGATGAAAGTGTGCCAAGACTAAGAAACCGTTAAACCTTATTAAAAGGGGGATAACAGATAACTTAGTAAAAATGATTGACTATTCTAATGTAGCATACCTTGAATTGTGGCAGAATCTCCTTCTAATCTAATGATTTCACCAATTAGATTATCATGACCAACACGAACCAATTCATACATAGCTGCACCTCCCATGCCATCTGCCACAACAACTGGTCCAGATACCTAGGGCAGGACATGAGAGTTTCATAACCGACAAAAAAGAATGGCATTCGTGAATTTGAAATATAAGTTAAACAAAAACTTAAAATATTAGTTATGAAAAATCATATTAAGAAATGAAACTCGTCCATGAGCATATAACTAATTACAATCGTCCTGTTAATACCACTTCATCTCTTTTTATGAAGGGCAAACATCAATAATAAAATAGAGAAATGAAAAACAAACCAACTTGTAGAACCAGAAAATGGGAACATAGACCATGTAATATTCACTTTACTACCACACCCACAAAAACAACGAAATCACTCCGCCAAAACTCAGTACATTTAAAGTTTCGATCCATTGATGGAAGATCAAATATGAATCTGAAAAATCTACATCTGCAAAACGACAAAAATTGCACATCGAGAGGGGAAGTGTAGTAACGAAGAAACAAAACAACGATTGTCATCCGAAGTATACATGTAAAATCATGTCATGCTGATTGATTCCCACGTAATACGATCGAGAAAACTATCGAAAGAATCAGAATTGATGAACAAGATGTAAAAATAAACAGATCGAGAAGTTGGGGACGGACCTTCCGAACGTATCCATACTCGCTTTCCTTCTCAGAATCTTCGAAGGTGGTCAACCGAGCTCCATACACGGACGGCATTGTGGAAGATACTTGATCGGCAACAGAGTGAATCGAATTCTTAGTGGGAGATAGGAAGGATCAAATAATGAACACAACAGGGATCAAAACCCTAGGGACCCGATCGAGCTGGAGATGGAGATCGCGAGCGAGGGAGTGTTGTGTGTGTAGAACGGAGAGTAGAATCGTTCAGGTAGTGAGAATCGTTTATGATATGGAAGAGGGGGATGGGATATGATTCGGTGGTGGAGGGTGTATGCTAAGGTGGCGTGGTATTACTACACAAATATCAGATTATTGCCAGCGGTGCCCGTTGCATAACGTGAGATTCAGTTGTGCTGTCCGCTGCGACGTGGTTCCCCGTTCTCCAGTCCATTCGATGTATATATCACGGTTTTCTCGACCCGGCCCACTCCAATTAGTTTATTTGTAGGAAAAAATGGGTAAGTTTTTTTTTTTAATAAAAATTATCTTTTTTTTTTAAATACAGTGAGGTTGGGAGATTTTGACTCCTAATCTCTTGGTTAGAGATAAACAATAATTACTGCTGAGTTAAAATTCATGTTAATATAAAAATTCTCATATCAATTAGAACAAAGTGAGGACAAAGATTAAAAATTTTTGTAGGGTCCGAAAGGAAAATAAGTTCATTCATCACCTTAGGTTTGCTTACTTGATCTTTACTTATTTACCCAATATTTACAGAAATTTTGGATATCCAACAATTCTATAGCTTGAACATTTCAGTGTCAAAAAACTGAAGTGCTCGATTTTGTTCTTTTAGATGATTGTATTCAAGATCTAAATATTTAAAGAACAATATATATATTTTTTAGATAATAACGATATTTTATTTTACATGAACACGGGAATATTATCATTACATGTCATTTAGTAACATACTTGTTTGGACAAAAAAATAACTGTTGTTATATACTCTATCATGCTCTAAATTCAAATAATTTTGTATGTTAAATTAACAAAAGTATAAATGAATGTTAAGTGATACTATTATATAAGCAATAAGTACCCTACAATACAATAATACTTTGTCAAATAAATTTACTCATAATTGGATAAAAAATGCTTTGATAATAAATTTTGAATTAGAATAGAACGTAAAAGATAAAAAAAAAATTTTGAACAAAGATCGTTGGATTCGTAAGGGAAATGCGAACAAAGTCCTACATTGACTAAGCAAGAAAACGATCCATGATATATAAATAAGGATAATTATCTCTATTATATAAGGTCTTTTTCGTGGAACCAAGAGTAAAGTTGCGAAGGTTATACCAAAAACGGATAATATCATACCGGTATAGAGATCCTTGAGATATCGTTGTCATCTAACAGAGATGAAAGGAATATATAGTGGGTGCAGCTGCATACAAAACTTTCTTATAGAATACAACTTTGGCAAAAGTTAAAAGGGAGAGGAGTGCATATTCTGGTCCAAAGTATGTGTATGTGGTGACACTGCCGCCCACAGGCTCAAAGCCCTGCTTACATCATATATCAAGTAGGGTATTCCATTGCTGTTTGAGCGCCTCATAAGCCTTCCCACAGGGTACAGCCTGCACTCTAATTCTCCCCTCTTCCTCTGTCTCTGTTTCTGTTTGGGTTACTGACACTAACCCCAATCTTGACAACGTTTCTATTGCCTTTTCTATTGGCATTTCAACCTGCATTGCATTATTCACAATTGTATTGCACTCTCCAGTTAAACATCTAACATCTAACAACAAACATCAAACACTTACCTTCACTTTCGACACGTTGTACAAAAATCTTTCGCATTTGTCCCCGACGCTTTTGCCACATGTTACCTGCAACCACAGCCATTCAGTCTTCTGTAAACCAGATGAAATTATGCAACTTCCAATTCCCTATCTCTGCAAACCAAATTCACTACTCTCGCTCAGCTCACTATCAACTACTTCAAATTTTATTTTTTCAACATATAAAATTCTGCGTCTGGACTAGGAAAGGCGGATCACCTCTCCTTTTTCTTCTTTGAGCAGAATTACATAGGCCAAGATAGCTTCTTTGTACTGCACAAGAAAATGAATGTTAGCCAAACCACCTCAAGGAGGAAATATATATTCAGATCATTTCACCTTTTTAACAGCGTCCTCCACCAATAGGGATTGAAATTTGAGGATTAGCTCATGCAAGTCTCCAATAATATTAATAGTGTGAAACTAGTTTATGAGTTTTGTAGAGACTAAAGTTGGAGAGAATCCAACGTTCCATTATTAAAGTCTATATATATAGACAAATATACAAGGTTGACCTAATCATATAAGGAGAAGGTAAAGGATATAGACAAATATACAAGGTTGACCTAATCATATAAGGAGAAGGTAAAGGATATAGACAAATATACAAGGTTGACCTAATCCTATAAGGAAAAGGTAAATGACAAATTAATATTAATACAAGAATATRAAATATACTAATATATACTCTAACACTCCCCTTCAAGTTGGTGCATATATGTTAATTATGCCCAACTTGTTAGACAAATAATCTATTCGTGCTTCATTCAACTTGTGTTCTCTGATTTTTGATATCATTGGGATCACCTCATAAGTTACGATTGATTTCTTCTCAGCCATAAAAAACAAGCGAACTTATTTGAACAAAACGACAGAACCAGACCAAACCACCCGAACCAAACAAAACAGATGAATCAAACGGTTGGAACCAAATCGGATTAGGTGTTTTCTGAAACCAGAAACCCCAAGTGCTCCCCCACGACAACCAGAGGGGTAAAGGCGATTGGCGGTCACGGAAGCGCACCGCGACGAAGGTGCGAAGGACGGCGAGACGAAACCCACGAATAGCAATTGGAAAAATAACTGGCAAATCAGCAAACGGCGGCGGTGACG